TCTATATATGTCGCTTCACTCATGTATTTTTCATTGATTTAATTTATTTAAGCCATAGTACGCGTTGATGATCAAAACTTTGATTTGCGTAGTCCTTTCTTATTGTATTTAATAAACCCTATTGCCCTAAATTACTTTGTTTAGAATTGATACATAATGAGAAGCCACTTAATTCTTACATTTAAGGATTACTGGCGCCAATTTCTGGAACCAGGTGATGTGCGCCCTGAGCCCAGCGGTATGGGTCGAACACCAGCTGCCCCTAATACTCCTTACGCACCTTCGTGTGTGGACAGAAGCATGTTGGGACCTGTCACAGTATCGCCAGCGGCACCAAATCTTCTTAGGCCGATTCCACGACGGCCACAGAAATTTTTTGATAGCCCCATGTGATTTCTCTAATTGATCTATCGTAGAAATGTGAACTACTTGAGCAGATATCTATTAATTGTTGCCATAATTTTCAACGACCTCCAATTATCCTTGGTCACGTTTAGATAAGATGTTTGGTTTAGCGGCAATACTTTTTTGTAATGCAATTTGATTAGGTCAATGTCTTACTGTCTATTTAATTCTGTACCTCTTAATTTCTTAATTGCCACTGTTTGCCTTTCCTGCATCAGTGCGATGTGTTACCCGAAGTGATTATAGTGAATCATTTATGAACTAGCTACATCTGCAAAAGCATAGTTTATGTTTAGAAGAAATGCTTCGACTCATTTTCCAATCTCTTATCATGATCTATAAACATACTTGCTTTAGAAAAAGTATTCTACACATTATCTCCACATTTATTCATTGTTTATATTGGTATCATCTAGTACATTCTGTATTTGTGAACAATTACCACTAATAACTGAAGTAAAATGCCTGTATATATGATGCAATTTATAATAAATGCCTCATTAGTTTTTCAGTATTTGCCTTCAAAGTTGTCCGATAATACAATTCTGGTGCCCTCGAAAGACTTTGCCGGGTGGCCCCACTTGGCCCTTCAAGCACAAATTGTTTCTGTTGCTTCCAGTTTCATTTTTTTCGAGTTTTGAGTATCCTAAAGCTGTTTAATTCAACTTCTTCATTATTCATTTTGGGATTCCACCCGAAGAGGATGTTTTTTCGCGGGAAACTGGTCAGCTCAAGTAAGAAATGATCCTCGAATTAAGCTCATTTCCTTTTAAGTATTGGGTTTACAAGCACCTCAGGTAAGAAAAATGCAAGCCATTTTTACGCCAGTAAATCCAAGGGAGAATACAGGTTGATGGAAAAATGGGCACATGTTAAGAAGTAGGAAACCTTATTATCTGTTTTGTCGGAACACTCAACGCAAGCTAAAGGAAATGAGTAGGAATACTTG